AATAAATAAATAAATAAATAAATAAAACCATCCTGTCAACCTCTCGAATCCTCACCTAAGACTTTAATCTCCATAATCCTATTGGCCACGCCGGCCACATTCTCCGCCACACACTCGTAGACTCCAGAATCCCTCGCCTGGATATTGTCAATCTCCAGAGAGCCGTCCTCCAACTGGACAATGCCCAGCTCGTTGCCTGTCAGCTGGACGTCATCCTTGTACCACGTGACCCGGGGACGGGGCGTGCCAACAGCAGGGCAGGGCAGGATCACCGGATTCCTCTCCACGATTTCGTTGTACTCGTTGTAAGGACCGGGAATTTCCGGAGTGCCTGTGACGACATTTTGGGGGAATCCCCGTTGTAATATTATTATTTGTGTCACTCTGTGGTGGCATCCGGGCATCATACGCTTGTCAAGTTTCGGGGATAAAATGGAGTAGTCATTGGTCTCATTATAAAGCTTGTTCATTTGTGTTGATTTCGATGAAACAAATTATCCATATGTCTTCAATAGATGTTGAGACATTTGGGATTGAAGGTGATTGGGGTTACCTGGTTTTAGAGATAAAATTATTGAGAAAATGGTTGTCAAATATTTGTGTCTTCCAAAGCTTGAGAGTCCATGGAACCTGTAATTTTATTTGTGTGTGGGTGTGTGTCTTTAATCAAGGTTTTTCAGTAAAATCCACACAAAGTTAAAAATTCTGTAAAATAAATGCGAAACAAAGGGAAAAAGATGCCCGTTTCTTCAATTTCATGATTGTAACGAGCTTCTGATTTCACCACGATACCTCACACTTATTTCCCACCTTCAATTCTAAGAAAGCTTATGTGAAAAAAAAAAAACGAGCCAATCTTCGAGTTGTAAATCTTCCGTGTGAAGTTTCTGATTACGAAAATGATAATACAATTCGCTTCATTTTTTTTCCATCGTAGGCCTATATATGAGTAAACTGTCTAAGTATCTCTCTCATTTCAATAGAAGGTTGTTTGTAAAGGACTTAAATCTCTATTTTACTTATTATTATTTCTTATATTCTATACCCGTTAAAAGAGATGGTAAAATCTCTCTGCTTTTAATATGAACCAGTTTATAGACAAGATGACACTTTTTCTCTTAAATAAATATAATATACCTGTTTATAAGGAAGAAAACTGAAAACATCCCATTATACGCCTAGTAGGACGTGGAAATGTGACAAGAACAAGGAAACTGACCGTGCACAGTGAGGGAGATCTCCCTGCTGACCACTCCGGCAGGGTTGGTGGCGGAGCAAGAGTAACTGCCCGCGTCCCTGAGCACGGCAGCATCGATGGTGAGAGAGCCTCTCAGAGACAGGTAGTAGCCGGCCTCAGGGTTGTCTGGGAGGGGTGAAAGGTCGGAGATTATGGGGCATGTTTGTTATACGCTTATTGTACACATATAGACAAAGATGTATACCATCGTATGTACTCGTTCATACATGCATTACACTTATACAAATACAAACACACACACACACACACACACACACACACACACACACACACACACACACACTCACACATACACACACAAACAGTCAAAGGCACACATTTACATGCAGGTAAACACACACACACACACACACACACACACACACACACACACGCACACACACACACACGCAAACAAACAACACACATACACACGAACACACACAAAATACACAATTATCCTATTGAAAACGTGGCAACTCACCGGTATCCAGAATAACCCCATCCTTTTTCCACAAGACTGTGGGTGGGGGGTCACCGCCGGACTCACACTCAAGGATGGCCGACTGACCGTACAGGACAGTGACCTCTTCTGGGCCTTCCTCCAGGGTGGGGGGAACTGGGGAGGGACACATAGTGGTAGTGAGGGGTACGATGAAACTATTCTTTAGAAAAAGAAAAGAAGAGAAAACGTAACAAATAACCTAAAAAAGCAACAACTTACCAAACACTCCCTAAAAAGAAATCGTCAAAGGCCAAAACTATTCTTTGCTGAGGGATGACAAAACAACAGCGACAATGGTTAAGGTAGCATGAGCAAGAACAGTAACTATTCTAACTGCATGAGCAAAAACAACAATAATAACATCAATAACATCAACAAAAGTAAAGCAGTAATAATAAATTCGACAATAGCATTACAAGAAGTAACAACAAAATAATGAAGAAAACAACGATGACAAGAATAGTAACAATAAAAACAGTAACAGTAATAGTATAACAGTAACAACAACACTTATGTCCAGAGAAACAGAAACAACTGCAACAATGACAGAGAAAAATAAACAGACAACAGCAACAGTGCAGCAGCAATAAAAAACAGAAACAGTACAACAACAACAACAACAACAACAGCAACAACAACAACAATAACAACAACAACAACAGAACAACAACCGTTTAAAAAAAAAATCCAACAACAAAAATCAGCAACAAACAACACCATCATAATTGTATTATCATACTCACTGTAAACGATAAGCGTAATAATCTTATTGGTGGTGCCGGCGATGTTAGAGGCCTCACACTCGTAGATCGCCTTGTCGGTGATCTGAGCGCGTGAGATGTACAGCCCGTTGTTCTGTTGCTGCACGCGCGATGACATGCTGGTGATGGGCATGAAGTTCTGGGACCAGCTCACGCTGGGCCGAGGAATGCCGCTCACCTCACAGGGCAGCAGGACGGACTCGTTGATGTTGATCTCGTACGTCTCTTCGAGGTCTCCGGCGATCACAGGGCTTACTGGATAATGACATAATGACATAAAGAGGGACGGGTTGGGGGGGGGTGAAGATGGGGAAGGGGGAAGAGAGAGAAAAAAGGGGTAGGGGTGGGGGTGAGGGATTTTAAGTATCTTTTGAGGCGAGGCGGAAATTAGTTCTTGTTGTTGTTGTTGTCGTTTGGTGTTGTTGTTGTTGCTTTTCTTCTTCTTCTTCTTTTTCTTCTTCTTC